ACCACAGCCAAAGAAAAGGATCCCCGAAGCACAACACCACATCTACAAGTCTCAAAGGTTTGTTTGAATTGCAGTTTCTAAGCCGGCCCCGGCGCGAAACCCTGCATGTGTGCCTCCCACAAATGCCGCACAATGCGCCTCATGCATAACAAGCACGGAAACAATGCAATCCATGGGGCGTCGTGTGGGAATTACATGGGCACACATCATGCAACGAAAGCCTCCCATCTACCCCACACACTTACTGTGTGCGTATGGGCTAATGGAGGAAACCTAGCACCACCTGAAAGCCCTAGCCGACTGAAATTCTTGAGGCAAAGGTACTGAAGGCAGTGCAAGATTTCTCCCATGAACAGCATCATTAAGACTCCTGAACAGAAACCCCCACAGGTGCATTCCCTCATCTACTGAACATTGGGAAGTTGTCCTGCCCAGCAGCTGAGGTCTCTCAAGCGTTGGAGAAGCACTTCGGCATTGACGGTGCCTCGGGCTGAACTCACGCTTTTGACCACGCGTATACCAAAAAAAAGCAAGGATTTGTGCGATCGCTCTGTTTGGAACTGGATTACGGATGGGCGGATCATTTGTTGGCCACCCGCAATCAGCAGGTACTTGCACGGCTACCCATGACGCTCCAAGTAGAATCTAGAAATCAAGTCGAAGATATGTTTCCCTAAACCTTATCCTCCCAGCAGCACATTACGGATTATCGCGCCTTGGGCGAAAACGTTGCTTCTTGGCATGTTCCTTCAGACTCGCCCATGGAGTGCCAGCTGCGTGCCACATCCTAGAGCCTCTCGAGAAACTGAAGTGACCCAATGTCACCGGGACAGCGCGCGGTCCACAACCTCTCTCATACCTCCGGCCTCTTGTTTCTCACAACGAAGCTGCGCCGCAAGGTTTGGGTTCCTGTGCACTCTTGGGATGGTAGCCTGCATGGTGAGGCAGAAACTAGCGTTTCACCAGGCACATCGAATCAAAAGGCATGTTCCTCAGTTTCTTCTTCACTTCTCTTTCTATTCTCTGCACTCCTTTGAGGGTAAAGAGGTTCAAGAATGTATTGTTCGTGTATTAGGCACTGCTTGATAACTGAAACGCCTGACAGAGGCGAGCACAGGCTCTAGTACGCGGTCATAAACTGATTCCGACTGTTCGGCGATCCTTCGCCTGAAGCCCTTCAGACCTGCAACTGGCCCGTGGCTGGTCTTGTACGCTGAGAAAAATCCGTGCACCTTTTCCACGGCCTGTATCATTGCGTTGAAAACGTCATGGGTAGTACGGTAAGGCCGCTTCAACTTCGTGGCGAGCCCCTTGTCCTCTCCTTGACATCTACGTCTATCCAAATGGCCCCAAACAAGCGGTGCTGTGGGATTTTCCAAACAGTCTGGGCAGGATAATCCCCCTTGAACCCATGCGCCAACAGGGAAGAAGGGTTTAGGGTTCAGGGTTCAGGGTTTAGGGATGGAGGGGCAGCAGGAGAGGGAAGACTTGCTCAAGAAGCCGCTGTGATCAGCCCTTTAGGACATTGTACGCTGTAAGACTACTCTTGTCAAGTGAGCCATTGCCCAAACTCCTAGTATCCCCCCTATGATAGTCCCAGTATAACCCTCTATATAACCCCCCTCTAAAGAGTTTGGACTATGGCTCAAGTCAAGGTAGCCCTCCAGTCCCTCCCTGCCTTCAGCCTATCCCTCTGCCTTGATATTGGACATCACAGGTCTACACCTCTACTGAAGACACGTACTACTGTACCCCAAAAAAATCTCATCCCATAACTGGGCCCAGTTCGAAAAGGATACACCAAAGGTGCCACAAGTTTCAGCCTTATGAACTTTAGGGTTCCCTAAACCCTAAACCCTGAACTGGGTTTCGGGTTCTAACTCATGGTAAGTAGGCCACGGAGGAATTCATCCTTGTAGCCGTCCCTACTAAAGCCTATAACACAATCCCTCATTCCTCACGAATCCTAAAACCCTCAACCCTGAAGCCTAAAGCCTCAAACAAAAATAAAATTCGAAAGACAAAGAACAAGCATAGAATAGCCTTCCATTCCTTCATTGCCCACTAAGCTGTAAGACAATATGCATGGTCCTTCCATTCCTTCATGCCTCTATTGTGGTCTCATAGCAACACAACCACAACCCTAAATCCTGAACCCCAACTAAACCTCAGTCCTGCAATAGCTTCTATGCTCTCTTTTAGCCCCTCATTCCCCACAACATAGCTCCTACATTACTCCTACATTATACAACCCTTGCCTACATGCGCCCTCACCCTAGAGCATCTTGTGGTCCATACATCATGAAGCCCTATTTCTACAGGAATCTGCATGACCAAATGAAGGGGCCAACAACCGTAAACCCTGCATATTCCCCGTATAACCCGTACAAAAGCCAACTCCTAAACCCTAACCTAAATCCTAAGTCCTATCAGTATGCACCCCAATATTCAGCCCTGTACTACCTTAGTTGTGTGATATTTACGGACCAGTAGAACTTGCATCCATATCCTCATCACCTCTTCCTAATCCGTATATTCCCCCATGTGGCTCCATATGGCCGTAGGCCCTACACGACCCAAACCCTAAACCGTAAAACCCTAAACCCTAAAACCCTAAAACCCTAAACGCTAAAACCCTAAATCCTATCCCTGTATTTCCTACATTAACTCTGTTTAAACTTAGGGCCCACAGTCAACTTTTCCAAAGCAAAGGCGCCGAGCATGAGCTCCCCTACCCGAGGCATCTGCCCCCGCCGCATCAGCTCGGCGCCTCGGTGATGAGTGAAAACTTGAGGGCTTAATATTGGGGTTATATTGGGGAATAATGGAAAAGAAAATGGAAACTACTACATTATAATGGGGTTAAATATTGGGGTTATATTGGGAATAATGGAAAAGAAAATGGAAACTATAGGGATTATGGTTATACAGGGTTATATTGGGATAATGGAAAAGAAAATGGAAACTACTATTACTATAATAGGTTATACAGGGTTTTATTGGGGTTATATAGGGGATAATGGAAAAGAAAATGGAAACTACTACATTATAATGGGGATTATATTGGGGGTTATATAGGGAATGGTAAACTCAATATTGGGGTTATATTGGGAATAATGGAAAAGAAAATGGAAACTACTATAATAGGTTATACAGGGTTATATTGGGGTTATATTACTATAATAGGTTATACAGGGTTATATGGGGGTTATATTGGGAATAATGGAAAAGAAAATGGAAACTACTACATGATAATGGGGATTATATTGGGGTTATATAGGGAATGGTAAACTCAATATTGGGGTTATATTGGGATAATGGAAAAGAAAATGGAAACTACTATAATAGGTTATACAGGGTTTCATTGGGGCTATATTGGGATAGTGGAAAAGAAAATGGGATTTAGACACGCGCATCGCACAAGCAGGCACGGCAAAATCTGTCCTGTCCGGGCTAAACTACTACACTGACCGACCAACTACACTACGACGCCACCAGCTGCACTTAGTCCATCTCTCAGACGACACAAGACAGGGACTTCACACACAGTTGCACAGCTTTAGTAGGCACCACCAGCCAGGAACTGCCAGTTTAGGGATTTAGGGTTTAGGGTTTTATGGTGCGAGGTTTTGGGATTGTGGCTTAGGGCTTTGGGGCTCAAGGTTTGAGGTTTAGGGCTGAAGGTTTAGGATTCAAGGCTTGAATTCTAAGGTTAAACCCTAAACCCTAAACCCTAAACCCTGTTACGCGGTTCATGTCCAGAGGGTTAAAGGTTTCAGGTCTGGGGTTCAGAGTTCAGGCGCAGGAGCCTATGAAAGAGGGTCCCCAACCAGTGAGCCTTATAGGGATCTAGGGAATCTAGGGTTTAGAGTTTAGGGTTTGGGATTTTTCACTCAAGGATTCAAGGTATCAAGGGGTTCCTGGGCTGTACCCCTAAGGTCATATCCCTGAAAGGTTTCCCCACTATAGCCTTAATGTCGCCCTTATATAGGCCAGTGTAGTCCTCTAGAGTCCCTTAAAAGGATCCCAACACCCAGCGGTACAACCCTGAAAGTTGAAGGCCTAAGCCCAAAGGTTGGGAGTCTTCAAGGTTAAGGCTGTGGGTTGGGAGCTAAAACCTAAGGGTTTAGGGTTTAGGGTTTAGGGGTTGGGAGCTAAAACCTACTGCGTAACCATGTTTTGGTTCTTCTTGAAGATTGAACTTGATTTTGGGCTGCAGGTCTAAGCTCAAGGTGTACCCTCTCGTAGACCATCATGGGATACCACACTACTGCCGCCTAAAAGGGGGACTACATGGGTTCCCATGTCTGTTTGGGGCAGGGAAGGTACCGGGTTGAAGGCTTAGGCTTTGGGTCAAAGACTTCAGGCAGAGAGAATTAGGACTTGCCGTAAGGGAAACTTTGTGATTCGAGCATGAAGGAACTTTGGCGCTAAAACAGGTCGGCCTGAGGTCTGAGGATTTAAGTCTATAATCCAGGGTAACCCTCAACCCAAAACCCTCAATCCTAATGCTAGGAGTTTGCACGTGCCAACTGTTTTGAAAGGTCCCGAGTCCGGCTTCTGGGTTGCGAGGCTCAAGGCTTTGGAGCTTTGGTTTTCCAAGTTTAGGATTGACAGCTTGTACGGCCTTCAGATTCACGTTGTGGGGCCCGATGCCTCGAGCAGTGTTTTTGGACTCAATATTCCATAGTATTCTCCTAAATATGTAAGATGGTACTTACTTCTTGCCAATTAGAACTAAAATTAGAGGGGCGCACTGCCTCACTTCTATGACCATTGGCGTTACTTCGTGGTGCTTATCTACTGAAGCAGCGACGGAACAAAATACTTAAGGTGCAACCGCACTTGAACGTCGGAGCCATGCAACTCAAATGTGGCCAGTGAACTAAGCCTCGACAGGGCTTGGGGTCTGCGGGCCGCTGCACGCACTAGATAGTCGGCCCGTGTAGACCTCTTCTACATCTAAAAGGTCGTTCTCGAGCTGTAGAACCTCCTCCATCTTAGAATCGTAACCTCCTGAGACCAGCAACTGTGGGAAACAATGTATGCAGTCCTGATCTCCTGAGGCCTGGACAGGCAACAGCCACTGGGTCCTGCAGCTGGTGGGCAGCAACACATTAGCTAGAGTCTAAACTCCTTAAAGGGGGGTTATATAAGAGATTAGTATAGGGGACTTCTTTTGGGGTTACTAAGGAGGATACTAGGAGTTTAGACTATTGCTCACATGAACATCAGGTACCATCCATGATTGAACAAAGTTCTCGTCGAAGTCCTTGGGAGTGAACAGCAACAGTCTGGTTGCGCAGGAACTACGTCTGTTCTGAATGACAGAAATAAGATAGTACACTGCTTTACGCAGAAATGATGTGGAATGCCGTGCGAAAGCGCTCCTTGTTCACAGTTGCGACCGCCCGGATTTCATCATCCTCTGTGTAGTATGAGACGAACTCCATGTTGCTGACATCGCCTGTTCTCAAGCCCAATAAGCAAACGCTTCTGAAATTTGGGGCTGTGGGGAACATATACAGGGTACATACACAGCGCATGCAGAGATCTTAAAGCGAATCTCAGGACATTTGTGCTGGATGAGGGTTCCCACATTCCAAAAATGGGGCACATCAAAATGCGGCCACTGGTGCACGCGGTTACTGTAACCACATCCAGGCCTCCTTATAGCCCAACTGAAGGCACCCCTAGGCCCTAAACCCGAAACCCTTAACCCTAAACCAGGATTGGACATCCAAGTAGGGACCGCAGATCTTGAAGGCTTACAGGACCCATCTTCCCCCACACCCACTCAGGGATCTGTTGCAAATGCTTTGCTGGCGTGCGGGGAACTCCTGATATATAGAGCCAAAATGTCCGTTAAACCGAATCATTATCTGCATGTCATCTTCGTTTTGATTTGCCATTTGATTCTCCATAATTGGGATCATATATCCTGATACATCCCTATATAATCCCTATGGTTAAACCTCACTTTCCAGTTGATAATGCATTTGTATTCCGTGTGACTGCGGGTTACACGTATCCTAGTTCTTTTGCTAGGCGCAGGTTGTTCCTCCCTTTGCCCTGCAACTTCCGAAGCCTTCTATAATGACTCGGTCTAGCGCTTCGGGAGCATGGCCGACAAAGCGCAAGTTGAGGTTGCCTGAGCGCAGAATACCGGGAAGACATGGGTTGGCTTGGGACTCATAATCCCAAAACAAGCCAAGTACTTATCCATCATAGTTCATCTTAGACTGTACACTTCAACCAAACCCTTCTACCCTGAACATCTTGTACTTAGAATGAACGCCGGCCGCCCCGCCCCCCCCCCCC